GATCTTTCAGCAATTGCTGTTCCATTAATCTTCGTAACAGTTTCTGCCATTAAAAAATGAAATACACAAATAGATGAGGACAAAATACACACATCATGAGAAGTGACAAAGAAGACAGGTTTAAATACTGTCTTCCAGGAGAAACAATTGGGATCTTTTGTTAACCAAATCTCAGAAGTTAAGTAATCAACAAAGCAAAATTTCCATAAACACTTGCACCTATCTAACAATAGCATGTCAATCCTTGATCAAGAAATAAACATACTGTATTGCTGCAACATATTGATGAAAGAGTTGGACATCAAGACTAGTATGATTCTGTGATGGCCCCGAGGAACGAGTAAGGAGAGAGGAATTGGCAGATTGCCAGGTCTTGTCAGATGTCCAGAATAGCCCTATGCTAATTTCACAGGTTTGAAAAGCTTACAATTTCCCAAAAAACCGTACCTTTGAAAATTCCAGCAGCAGGGATAGCTTTCAGAAAAGTCTCCACAGCTCCAAGAACGTACCTACAATGTAGGGGGGAATGCAGAAAAAAAAAATATTAGGAAGGCAGAAAATATCACTAGCAACTTAAAGCCATAAAATGCCAAGCTTAAAGACTTTCTTGAGGGGATTTTCCTTAAGGAACTAGGATTTACACTTACAAAGCTCCAGCAACAGCATTGCCAAGAAAGAAGCATAAACCTATGCTTATCCCAACCTCTGGCCCAAGTGCACGACCAATGAGATAATATGGTCCCCCACCCTGGAGGTAGTTAAAAAGTTAACTTGCTACCGCATAAAATTTGCTGACCAAATCATTGCTATATCATAAGAGGAAGAGAGAAGCTACATCGTATTGATGCTTATGACCAGATACCCAGTGAACAGAGCAATTAGTTTTCACTATTGCAACACAACTTATGCAATGCGTACTCAGCTATACAAAAGAAGATAAAAATGTACCTTCATTGCACCATTGGTTGCAATAGCACTTAGAGATATTGTTGTCAAGAAAGTACAGGTGCCACAGAGCAGTACTAGCAGTAGCCCTTCTCCTATGCCAGCCATGCCAACAATCCTGAATTTTTACCAGATTAAGACAGATCATGAGGCCACGACCCTGTTTCCCTCTTTAATTTAAGTAATCTAAAAGGGAAAGAAATTTGAAACAGTCATTTTAATCAACATCACAGCAGCATTGAGGATGCAGCTGCCTTACCATGAGAAACGGATATAGTAGATAATTCCTAATATATTTTGCAGGCATGGAACAAACACTCCCATCAGTGTACCCAGCTTCAGTGCTAAAGGCTGAAAAAAGACAGACAAAAGTAAAATCGTTAGTAACTACAAATGCAGAGACTCTTACTTTCACACGCATCACAAAACAGACACCAAAACGTCGTTAGTAAAAGAAAGTTCAAAGAGGTAAAGCGCATCCGATTCATTCGAAACAATCAATAAGATGTCATACTTAGAGGGGTGCAATACTTTGCAATGTAACAAATCATACGTGACCGTAGCGAATATAAACACTGCTTTATAATGTCAGGATTATATTGTATAACATATCCAAACAAATAAGCAGAAGGAAGTAAAGGAAGCTAGGTGACGTTTTAGTGGATGATATTTGAGCTCTTAGGGTCACCTCTGCTCCATCTCTATGCGGCACAGGTTTAAAATTCTTTTCTCCAAGATGCTTCTAAGAGTCTTATACCTCTCTCGACTAAAATTTTGCGATAATCTATGAAGCCTTTTTTCCTTTTTTGGACACTAAAGAACCAACAAAAGCACATCATTGGAACCAAATGGGAAAAACAAATGACAGACGCTACTACTGAAAAAGCGATAAGGGCTAAAGAGAATAGCAAAGTACCTTAGGGTGCCCTTGCGTGATGGAAATATCCTCCCCATCCCTTGGGCTGGATGGTGCAGGAATTTGCTCTCCTGTCATTCTGAAAGAACAAGTCACTGCAATTACCACCGGTGAAATGAGAGAAAATGTTCCTACCAAAGCAAATGGCATACATTTAAAGCATAAATGAATCGGACAATAAAGTGAAAACAGTAGAAAGCTTAAATAAGTTGAACTGCTGATTTGACAGAAAAGTTATGACATTGGGCAACATACAAGTCATAAAAACCAAGTTCATTCTTTCGTTTTAATTGGTAGGTCAGAAGAAAGAAATGGGGATCTCTATTTTCACATCACGAACCAAGGACATTCTAACTATATCACGATTAGAAATTCATGGTGAGATTCATTAGTACCAAAAAAGAACCCCAAGGACACTGCATACACATGAGACTAATTCTTGTGACTTTACCACTCAAATAGATGTTAGATTACTTTCTACACGGGCATTGAATCATGTTAATCTGAACGAGAGACCAGCAAGTGGAGTTATAATAACAAGAAAGATTCCGTATACCTCTTCAAACCAAGAATGTTGACGAGAGAATCAAAACCAAAAAGCTCCAACTTCGATTCGTTGTGAAGACCATTTACTCCTCCATCTTCTGATCCTGCCCCTTCCCTCGCATTGGCACCAACCTCTCCAGGCGTAACCACTTTAATTTTCCTGTCAAAAACCTACAAATGTGAGGAACGCTCATGATGTAATGCAGAAAACATATAGGCTATTACTCTCAACATTTCTTACTATATAAAGTCTGAGAAAATTCACCCAAAGTATCCTTTTCAATAAATCAATACCCTCCGAATGTATCTACTAATAAGCAGTACAGAATTAGGGAAAAGGAAATTGCCTTCCATTCAGCTTTGCCTTAATTTTAATTTCAGAAATTCCTCTCACATAGCTAACCAGCTTCCAAATATAGTTAGCCATCCAAGTAAATGCTACTCTCTAAACTAGAGCAAACCAAATCTCGGCGAACACATTCTATTGTCTGAACCATTCCACAAGCAAGCATGCCTAAGAATAATATTGCAGAAATCTCCCGATCAAAAATCATAGCAACAAAGACGCATCACTATCACGAAACCTTCATCAACCAGAAGCTTTCACATCCCGACAGAATCTAAGGATATCCTTCATCACAGGAAACACTTTAGGCTCGATACAACAGACAAGATTCGGCTACGAAAACAACTCAGAAGCAGATGCATCAACAGAAACTTACTTAAGGGAAGAAGAGGAAGGAGATCCAGGGTCCATGGAGGACATCTCGACGACGGCCCGATCGTGCGCGACCACCGGCCGGTATTTACCCCCTCCGCCGCGCGCTGATGACCGGACCTCCTCCTCGCCATTACCGGCGGCTTCTTCAATGTCGCCGTGGTCCATTTCTCCCCCCGAATCCGTACAGATCCCGACCACCGCCAATTCCTCTTCCTCTTCGTCGCAACAACCCGATTCTCCGGATCGGAGAATTTGAATCTGGCAACGTAAGGGAGATTTGATGTTACAAGATCAAATAAAAAAAAAATTGAAAATAAAAGAAAAATTATATATATAAATCGAAAGACATTAGGAAAGCAAATGAATTTATCTGAAAATTCAATATGGGCTTTTCTTTGATTTGGGTCAAGCTAGGAGGCGGCCCTAAATGTCAACGTGTACCGTAGTCTGTACAAATATATATTTTTTTTTAAATTTTAAATTAATATTTTGAAGTTATTGTCATATTGACATAATATAACTTTACGAACTTTCCATTTTTTTTTGCATATATTATATTAGAGATGTAAAATAGGTTAGGTTAATCCAACCTAGCTTGATAAAAAAAAAATATTTAAATTAATTATTTGGGTTGTTTTAATTAAACAGGTTTTATTGGTTTAACCATTAAAAATATGGGTTAAATGATTAAACCCATCAAACCCATTTAAAATTGTGAATATAAATCTTAATTATCTAAATAATTTTTATCACTCCATTAATAAAATAAAAATTGAATTATTCAAACTAAGTAATATATAACCTATTTCGATATAAAATCAAATATACAATACTTATTCAAAAATAAAAAATCAAACCCGAATAATACATAAAAATTTTGAGAAAGGCAAAAAATTTATATGGAATGTGAATTTTATTAAAAATATTTATTCAAATAAAAATGGTTGATTCGATCCGAAACGAACGAATCGATTGGAATCGAAACAAATAGAATTTGAAGATTCAAAACGAATGATTCAAATCGAATCGATAAAATCAAAACGAATAGAATTGAAATGATTCAATTCAAATCGAATATGATTCACCGAATCAAACGAATATATCCGAATAAAAAACGAATTGAATTTGATTTCATTGAATTTTTATAAAATATCCTTAACATTATGAGTTAGATAATAAATTAGGTATTATTTAATTTATTAATTAGGTTTGATGGATATAGTTGGGTTTTATTGGATGATAATATCGTGTCGATATTCTCGTATTTTGTGTGATAGACTTGTTAGATTTTATCTAAGGTTGTATTTAATATCTTCGTGGATTTTCGAGGGTTTTCGGTTGTATTTCACCTTGTATATACATCTGTTTCGGCAGAGAGAAATAAACAAGCTTTTCCCGCATTCGAACATCGTTGTGTCATGGTCATGGTATCAGAGCCCGACACTCCCTTGCTCTCCTCTTTTTGTTTTTGATTTTATTCTCTTGTCTCTCAATGTCGTCTCCTTCGACTCCGATTCACTCTTCTGATGCGGCCGTATCCTCGGTAACGAACAACACGATCTCGGCCCTGCCTCGTCGAACTATATCACCATTCGATCTCAGCCTAAGTGATAACCCGGGGCTTGTCTTATCTCAACCTCTTCTTCGTGGTAATAACTACGAGGAGTGGTCGATCAATTTTCGTCATGCGTTAAAGTCGAGGAAGAAGTTCGGCTTTTGTGGATGGCAAAATTTCACCTCCCGATCCAGATTCCGCTGACTTTGAGGATTGGGAGACGAACAATTCTCTCATTGTGGATAAAGAACACGCTTGAACCATCATGGTCTCTGCTCAGTTGCTAAATTTTTCTCGCCATGGTTCATCGCCAGTTTGACAAGCACGTGCTCATTGTCCGTACCGACAATGGAACAGAGTTCATGTGTCTTGGAAATTTCTTTCGCTCCCAAGGTATCATACACGAAACCTCCTGTGTTGATACTCCGCAGCAAAACGGTAGAGCTGAACGAAAGCATAGGCACATCCTTAATATTGCTCGTGCTTTGATGTTCCAAGCAAATTTTGCGATCGAGTTTTGGTGGGATTGTATCTTGACAGCAGGATACCTCGTCAATCGAACTCCGACTAAGTTGTTGTCTAGCCGTACTCCGTTTGAAATCATTTACGCTTGGCCTCCGGATTATCATCACCTCCGTTCTATAGGAAAGAAAACAAGGAATGAAGAGAGCAATAACTAAGGAACCAAGAGGCAGTCAAGAAAATAAAGAGGATGACTTTTATTAATTACTTATGTTGGGTTGAGTGATTTCCCGATCAACAACCTATCTTATATAAGGGAACATCTATGAAATGAGAAAGGCATGTTTTGAGTGTGAAATTCTGAGTAGGAGGTTAACGATTCCTCAACCAAATCGTTAACCTCCTATATATATATACACCTGGCGATGGAAACGGCGGCGATACGACGGGGCAGAGTGACGGCGATGGCGACGGACTTGGCGTAACCTCGTCGGAGAAGAATCTGAGAAAGCTGAGTGTTTTTACCGCACCCGGTACCTCCAGTTACAACCACGACTTGGTGGTTCTCAAGTGCATCTACTATGGCATCTTCGTAACCAAGGATGGAGAGATTCGCCATCGTTGAAAACTACGGTAGCAAATCAAGGATCTCTCGAGTCTCACCAGAGAAAGATTGAAGGAGTTTAGAGAGGATTGAAGGAGTTTTGAGCGACGAGTTACGTCTCGAGAGAGAGACGGGGAAGATTTACAAATCGCTAACAAACACCGTACATGAACACCATAACTACCCATCTTCTTTTTCGTTAACAAGTTCGATCACGGACGAGCGACCCGTTGTTGTCGATTCTTTGTCCTCTTCCCCTTGTCTCTCCCTTTGCCTCTAAACTCCATTATAAAATCCTGCATTTCTCTCTTCATGGTCATTTCTTCTTCTTTCTCCCCCCTTTTTATGTTTCAGCAGCATTAAGTATCAGTTCTATTAGAAATAAAAATATTGATAAGCATATGTTGTTACTATCAATATTAGATTAATGCACGATATTTGCACGGTAAATATTCAACAATTAAAATCTCAATCTACATCATTTTTATAATAATATATTGTGATTATTATTATATTATAGAGTAAATTTGAAAATTCTTTAATATGTGTGAAGTATTTTGATAGTTTAACAAAAGCATTAATTTATAATTAATTTCATTAACAATGAACAATATTTCAATATTATTCTAATGTATTTTACCGTTTGAGCTCATTGTTGTAACTCTGTGAAATTTGATTTTGTAAGATATTTGAATATTACGTATGATATTTAAAGTTTATGTATGATACTCATGTGTTATTGATAAAGTTTGGTAGTGAAATATGTAAAACTATATTCATAAAACAAAAAAGATTTGATATTGATTTCAATAGTTTGGAATGGATGATCGGTATATGGCGATATGAAATTGATGCGTCCGGCTGTAGTCTCGCAACTAGATTGCATATAATACGCAATCATTGTGATATTCAACAAATAAAAATAGGAATTGATAACCAAAACATATCAATAGAAGATTTAGGTTTCTTAGGAATCAGATTTGTTTACCTCGGCGGCAAGTAAACAATCTTTCATGTCTTGTAAACTTTCTGGGTTTTGTAGGCAACTCGCGAGGATCTTTCCGACCATGGAATTTTTTTTGGCCGACGAGGTATAGAAGGAATTTTCCTTATTACTAAAGAAAATGATTTCAAATTCACATAAAATCGTCGTTATTCAAGGAGACTATTAAGGCTTTTGACCTACGATGGGCTTTTATTTTGGTTTGCTATTCGTCCAAGCCCATGCACTATCTGAATAACGTTTCCATTTAGGCCTACCGAAGGCTAAGTCCAACAACTCATTGATAAATTTGGGGGAAAAGGTGCGGTGGAAAATACAAGGAAAATTGTATTTTCTTTAAAAAAATAAAACATTCATTTAAAAATTAATTGTAAATAATGACTCGACTAAAAAAAATAAAATAGATGAAAAATTAAAATACCGCCACAAGTACTAAGCATATTTTAAGAATAAAACCTCTATATGTAAGGTGACGCGGCGGCTATATCATAAGTTGGCGACACTCCAACTTTAAACGTATATAGTTTATGGTAGACAATAGGAAAAATGTTTTATTGGAAAAAATTTTCAAATTGAACAAGGACTCACAAAAAGAAATTAAAAAAAAAAACAATGATTTTTTTTTTAATTTTGATAATTTTTATCAAATAAATATTAAATTTTTTATATTTATAAAAAAATATTTAACTCTCGTACAATTATTTAAATAAACAAAATGAGATGATGTGATATAAATAAATGCAAAGATATTATATTATTATAGTCGGGTTTAGATCATTTAAAAATTTTATGTTTTCTAAACTCATTTAAAAAGTTTGATGTTTATTTGAACAAAAAAAGATAGTTTAGTATTTTTTTATTAAAATTAAAAAGTGAAAGTGTTTTTTTTTATTTTCCAGAAAAAAAAAGTAAAGAGCGAATGGATAAATGGACATTTTGTTCACATAGAAAAAGTTTTAAAAAGTGTACATGTATTTTAGGTCTTTTTTTTTTTTGATAATCGGGTGATCCCAAACCCAAAGACCCAAACTAATCCCGACACACGCGTACGATCCTGCAACACACACGTGGGATGTGAAACACCCAAAGGTGGCAGGAGAGGAATCTCCATACTCTGGGTGTTGAACCCACGACCTCGTTTATAGGAAAGGGGCTCTCAAACCAACAGAGGTAGGGGATTCCTCTATTTTAGATAGTTTCTAATTAGATACATGTGTTAGTTTACACATACGTATATATTTTAGAAAATAAACCCAAAAATCAATTTCTATTATTCGTTAAGTGATATATGTGTTAGCTTATAACTTTATATATGCATATATATTTCAGAAATTAAACCCAAAAATTAATTGCTTGGTTTTTCCTTCTTTTGGGCTAGCAAGATTAAATTTATGGCGTATCTTGAACCAGTTTTAGTTTTGGGTTCAGTTTACAAATACAAAAAATATATATATATATTTGTAGATGGTTTAATGATTTTTTTTTAAAAGATTAGACCATTAATATATAGCAATGAAGGTTTATTTGCAAAAATGATAGTATGTATTGTTTTACTTGGTTTATAACCTTAAACCCTGATTAGAGACTAAACCCAAAAAAGGCGCGAAACGTTAATTAAGATACCGAGCCAAAAAAAACTAGAATATTCACCCCGTGAGAGTTGTGGGAAACTACATAAACAAACACACAGTGATACATATACATACGCATATACATATACGCCACGTGGCACATAAATAAAATCAAAATGCACAATTGAATAAAACATGTATTAGTTGCAATAATTATACAATTTCAAACCGAAAAACCATTCGGATTTGTGGACTCAAACTTCGAAATTACACTTTCACCACATGAACAATAATTAATGGATTCAAATTAAGCCCAAAACAATTGAATTGTAAATTAAAGAAAAAAAAATAATACTTGTTTCATACGATTCAATTTGGATATCTGAATCGGTGAAATGGACACACAAAATATTTGTTTCATATTGAGTTCGAACTTCAAATTGAAGAACGGAGTGTAATTCTGATAATCCGACTTACTCTCGACTTCAAAATTAGTTTGGAATAGTCTCGTTATAAGAAAAAAAATATTTGTTTCTTTTGTAAAAAAAAAAAAAAGATAACTTTTTGGTAATTAAGTCGTCTTCTTTAATGGTCATCATTCAAGCCACATGCATGGTCTCTCGACCCTTTTTGTCAAAGCTATGAACATCAAAGAGTAAACTTTTTCTTTTCATTGTTATAAAACTCGTATTTTGATCACAAAATATTTAGAAAAAAAATAATACTTGTTTCATACGACTCAATTTGAATATCTGAATCGGTGAAATGGACACACAAAATATTTGTTTCATATTGAGTTCGAACTTCAAATTGAAGAACGGCGTGTAATTCTGATCATCCGACTTGCTCTCAACTTCAAAATTAGTTTGGAATTGTTACTGGTTGACATGTATTTCTCGGACTGAAGAAAGAGGTTGAGAAAGACTCTGTAAGAGTCAGAGGTTCTTCGGATAATGTGAAGACACGGGACGATGCAGAGGGTTTGAGCACAGTTTTAATAACACAAGGGCTTAAAGACAAATGGATAAGATCAGCGGGATAAAGTTGTTAAAAACCCAGGATTATCTTCCTCTTCAATCATCGGTGTATTTTTCTGCTTCTTGCTTATTTTGCTGTAATCTCTCTCTCAAGAACAGTTCTTAGTGGATTCTAGCTCGGGGTTAGCAAAGCCCTGGTTCGAGACGTAGGACTACTCACATCGAGTAGATCTGAACTCGTTATATCGCTGCCTTCTTCTTGTTTTCTCTTTCGACCGCTGCATTCTTCTTGTTTTCTCTTTCGATTCGTGTTGTTAGGAATTCTGGGAAATTGGGTTTCGATTTTACTAAAGAACTTAACGCTGAAGGCGACGCATTCTAGGTTTTAGGCAACGTCAAGAATAGATCTCGTTATAAGAAAAAAAAATACTTGTTTCATTTGTAAAAAAAAAAAGATAACTTTTTGGTAATTAAGTCGTCTTCTTTTATGGTCATCATTCAAGCCACATGCATGGTCTCTCGACCCTTTTGTCAAAGCTATGAACATCAAAGAGTAAACTTTTTCTTTTCATTGTTATAAAACTCGTATTTTGATCACAAATATTTATATTTAAATATTTATTATTAGATTTTATATAACATTTTAGATAATCAAAACTTAGAGATCTTATTATCTCAAATTTATTTTTATTGGATTCATTTTTATATAGGAAAAATGTTTCTTTTTTCACAAAACGTACTTAAACATTAATATAAATATAAGTGAGCGAAAAAATATAAGCATAAATACAAAAAGATACGAAACAAATAACACTATAATAATAATTAAAAAAAATACTCAGATTAGACCATTAGACACCGAAAATATTTATGAAAATAAAAAACATTGTAAAAAAAAATAGACAGAGTTTTTCTTCGGAGATTCGAAAAGCGTCATAAAGTATGACGTGGCTAGCATGTTATTGTGTTAACATGCGCATCACCCAAAGATTACGATGACGTGGCAAACATGATAACATGCGCATCACCCTTAGGATGCTTCTGCTCTTTTATGTCGAGCCCATAAACTTTCTGCCTTTTTTTTTCCCCAAAAATATTATTACCTTTAAAAAATATGGAAATGAAATACCAAAAATATTTACAATATTAATACACATTTACAATTTACGAATTATAATAATCTTATTTATAAATCATAAAAAATTGATAATTAATTCGATTTCATTGAAATTAAAACGTGTTAATAGGACAAGTTTTTTAATCTAATTAAACATAATTTTTTTAGACGAAAATTTAAAATAAAATTTATGAGAAAATAGAATATTCAAGAAGAGAAAAAGCATGATCGCAATATCATATAATTCCTTCTCATGCAAGTTTTCTTATTTTCTCATTGCCATGCTAAGCACTATGCTTTTTTGCACGTTCGGTCTTTTTTTTTTCAATGTATTATCCTCTCTTTTCCCTCTGTCTGATTTTGGTCGGTTAATATTTATTTTTCTTCAATTTTAAAATTATTAATTTTGTTATGGAAATTGTTTTATCATTATCTATTCAAAATACAAATGAATAAATAGAGTATTGATTTATGAAAATGTGTATACAATTATACAATTAGTTTTGAATTTTCTCGTGTTAACTTAGGTGTTGAATTATAATAATTTTTATTTTGAGTTTTTGGTTTTTGGTTTTTAGTTTGTATAATATTTAGAAATCTAAAAAATAGAATTTTTAGTTTTAAAATAATTATTTCACTGAAATGATTTTTTCAATTTTTTAAGAAAAAAATTATAAAATTTTGATTGTCAATTTTTTTTTGGATTTAAAAAACCCAAACACCTCTTCCATTCAACCCTTTATTCTCTCCTTTTTGGAATTTTAAATCTTTTTTATTCCTAAAACTTTATTAAAAAAAAAGGTGAAAAATGAACAAAATTCTGTGTCTTATACCAGGTTCCATGTCAATGCCACATTTGTTTCTCATTTTCTTCCTGCGTTTAAATATTCACGCGCCCTTGTTTTCCAAATTAACCCATCTCTCTCTCTCTCTCTCTCTCTCTCTCTCTCTCTCTCTCTCTCTCTCTCCCATTGTATATTCTCTTGAATCTTTTTTTCTCTCTTGCTGTCCACTACACAGAACTTACAATTTCTTTCCATGTGAGGATTATGCGGATCGAAATGTGGGGCTTTTTTTGTGTCATCTTCCTCTGAGATTAATCTGATCAAAACCTCAAAACCTCGACAAGAGTGTTGAAGAGAGGCAACTCATTTGGGACATAGCCATTTGTCTCGAGCTTCACTGGTATGTTCTCTGAAGTCCATTTGAAAAAAGTCCACTGTTATGCCATTAGCTCTAGTCTCAGGTCCTTCACCGGTTTTTAGGAGTGGCACCCAGAAAAAATTGCATGTTGGGTGTTTAAGAACTGGTAGATTTATCCGATGGGTGTTCTTCTAAATCGGTGGAAATTGGAGAAATTCGCCCAAAGGAGTGATCTTTTTTTTATAAAACCTCTCCTACGTCCTTGATGAGTCCCAAAGCTTGGACCTTTGTCTGAAATTTGAGGTTGCTTTGGTCTGTTCGTGTCTTAGGAATGAGGTTGTGTTTGGGATTTGAGTGTTCTTACGAATTTGATGTAATATGTCTCAGAGTAGCGGAGAAAGGAAACATCTTTCTGTGAGGATTCGCTGTTTGAGAAATGGGTTGTGCTGCTTCAAGCATCGATAAGGAAGAGAAGGTTTTGGTGTGTAAGGAGAGAAAGAGGCTGATGAAACGGTTGTTAGGGTTCAGGGGAGAATTTGCAGACGCCCAATTGGCTTACCTCAGAGCATTGAGGAACACAGGTGTGACTCTCAGGCAATTCACAGAGTCGGAGTTACTGGAGCTTGAAAACCCTAGCTATGGATTATCTTTACCCTTTTCGCCTCCTCCTACATTGCCGCCGTCCCCTCCTCCGCCTCCACCATTTAGCCCGCCTATCCCGAGCTCCTCGTGGAACTACTGGGACCCTTTCGAGTCATCGGGACCATCAAATGGTGACAATGTGGTTGAATACACTGAACCAAAGTGTAGAGAACTGGCTGAGGAAGCTGAAGAGGAATACCGGGCAGAGACAAAGACCGGGTCTGAGGAAGAAGCTTGCCTTGATCTAAGTGTTCAAAGAACAGAAGCCACAGGTGGCAGAAAGGTTAAGTTGGAAGAAGTTACGGCCGGTAATTCCTCCATGGTGAGATGGTACGGTAAAGATTCGGAGAAAATGACTGCGTCCGAACGTAGGATTAGGAGGACACTGGAAGGAATCATCAGAGAGCTGGATGATTATTTCCTGAAAGCGTCGGGTTGTGAAAAGGAGATAGCCGTGATTATCGACATCGCCACCATGGATGCTACCGGTCCTCCGAGGTATAAGGAAATCAAAAGTAAGTGATGTTCCTCATTCGGATTTGCAAATCCATTGGATCTAAACCTCAGTGCTTCAGCTTTCTGTCAAACTGCATATAAAGTTTCATACTTTTTACCGATTTACGGCCATATTTACGAACAATCCGCAAGATTTCTTGCGAAAGTTTTGACTTTTTTACGCGTCTTACAGGAAAGAGGAGCAATTCCCCGAAGGTATTCAGTTCATTGTCGTGGAGTTGGTCTTCTAAGTCGCTTCAATTGTCCAGAGATGCAATGGAGAGCTGCCCTGTTGAACCCTGCAGGCCCGGAGCTCACTGCAGAACACTCGAGAAGTTATACGCAGCCGAGAAAAAACTCTACGAGCATGTTAGGGTAAGTACCATTTACGATAAACTGCTTCATTGTTTCATTGCAATGTTCGATATTGTGTGCGTAGATGCTTTTCTTCTTCTCTAGAAATGCTGATTCATAAATGGGTGATCTTTTCTCTTCTCGTTACGCGTCTCAGAACAAAGAAATCGCTAAAATGGAGCACGAGAGGAAATCTGCATTACTGCAGAAGAAAGACGAGGAAAACCACGATCATGGCAAGACGGAGAAAACCCGTTTATCTGTCGAGAGTTTGGAGGCGGACATAAACCGCCTAGAAGATTCCATTAGGACAACGTGTTTGTGTTTGCAGAAACTTATCAATGAAGAACTGTATCCTCAGCTTGTTGCTTTAACTTCTGGGTAAACTCCTCGCATTAATGCCGGTTCTTTCTTATGTGGATCTGATGAAAACAATATGAATCTCCTTCTCAAGATCCGTTCGGGTTTTTTCGGGTATTTACAGGTTGGAGCATATGTGGAAAACGATGCAGAAATGCCATCACGTCCAAATCCGTATATCTCAGCAGCTAATCCAGCTTTCGGATTACCCGAATATGGATCTGAGTTCAGAATACAAACGCCAAGCGGCTACTCAGCTCGAGACCGAGGTCAGTCGCTGGTACAACAGCTTCTGCAAGCTCGTGAATTCTCAACGGGAATACGTGAAAACGCTCTGTAAGTGGACTCAACGCACCAATAGCCTCTCGGGGGAAGGCAGCCATGGAAGCAGCTTGTCAGAAGCTGCTCGTAAGCTCTGTAAAGAATGGCAGCTCGTGTTTGATAACCTTCCGGACAAGGTCTTACAACATATACCCTTTTGTCTAAAACATGTTTTTTTTCTGGGATCTTGTCTGAATGAAATGGTTCTTACAGGTAGCTTCAGACGCCATTAAAAGCTTGCTGCTATCTATCCAATCCATAATCCATCAACAAGCTGAGGAATACAGCTTGAAGAAGAAATGCGGGAAAGTGGAGAAGAGGCTGGAGAAAGAACTGAACTCGTTAGCTGAGATCGAAAGAAAGCTCGAAGGGACGGAAGAAACGTCGGACTCAACGAGCGGATTAAGCTCGAAGCATCCGTTATCGATAAAACGGGCAAAGATCGAGGAATTGAGGAAACGGATGGAAACAGAGAAAGGAAACTACCTGAACTCGGTTGAGGCGAGCAAGAGAATGACAATGGAGAATCTGAAATCGAGCCTTCCCCTCGTCTTTCAGGCGTTGTCGGATTTCGCAAACGCCTTTTCTCGGGGCTTCGAGGCTGTTCATCGCCATATCGAGCCAGATGTTTATGATGATGATGTTATCCAAACATGATGCATGACAAGATGTTGATGGTGATAACCATTTATGCTACTTTCTTATTCATATTGTGGATATGACTTCCTCAGTAACCAAACATCCCTTCTCTCTCTCTATGTGGTACCGTGTCGAACAAGTAAAAGCCTGCAGTGACTAGGGGTGGCCATTTCGGTTATTAACCGAATAATCGAACCGAACCGAACCGAATAAGACATAACCGTAT